CCCTTCATCAGAAAAGGCTTTTCTGATGAAGGGTCTAGGCCCGAAACATCAGCCTTTCTGCTCCTATGATGCTGCTTGGCCTGCTGTGTTCATCCAGCTCTACACCTTAATAATTAATAACAGTTATTTTATTTGCTGAATATATTTGTTCATGATGTGAAACCCAGAATGTGGGAGATTTATTGAATTATGAACAGGCCATTTAGAGCTGAAGCATTTCTCCACAGAAATCTGGAACTTTCTCCCAAAAAGCTGTTGAGGGGTAAACTTTTTTTTTTTTTTTTGAAAAATGAACCTGACATGGTAGACTTCTTCCTCCAAACTCCAGTGAATACAGGCTGCTTCAGTTATATGGCTCCTTCGTAACCACGCCCTTTCTTTGCACAAACACTTGTACTGCTCGGCGTGAAGCCTCTGCATGTTGATCAGCCCATGAGAAATCTCCATCATCTGCAGTTTGGCTTGTTGTTACCACTTGCGAGAGGCCTGACTGGCTCAACAGTGAGGCAACCAAACTGCCTGATCCAAGCAAGCCTGTCCAATGGCCTAGTGATATTATTGCTAGACCATTATTCCAAAAACTCAGCTAATAGTCTGGGGACCCAGGTTCAAATCCTACCCTGGCAGATGATGGAATTTCAATAAAGAATCTGGAATTAAGGGTCTAATGCTGGCCATGAAACCGTTGTCGAATGTCGGAAAAACTCATCTGGTTCACTAATGTCCATTTATGTAAGGAAATCTGTCTTCCTTAGCTGGTCTGGTCTACACTTGACTCCAGACCCACAGCAATGTGGTTGACTTCTGGGAATTAAGAATGGGAAATAAATGTTGGCTTAGCCAATGATGTCCACATCCCATTAGTAAATTTTTTTTTAAAAAAATGGCGCTGCACTCAAAAGGTGCTACAGGATCAACGGGCCAATGGGCTGAAGAGTGACAGATGGAGTTTAATTTAGATAAGTGTGAGGTGGTGGATTTTGGAAAGGCATTATACACTTAATGATAAGGTCCTGGGGAGTGTTGCTGAACAGAGTCCTCGGAGTGCAGGTTCATAGTTCCTTGAAAGTGGAGTTGCAGGTAGACAGGATAGTGAAGAAGGTGTTTGGTATGTTTTTCTTTATTGGTCAATGCATTGAGTATAGGAGTTGGGAGGTCATGTTACGGCTGTACAGGACATTGGTTCGGTCACTTTTGGAATACTGCATTCAATTCTGGTCTCCCTGCTATAGGAAGGATGTTGTGAAACTTGAAAGGGTTCGGAAAAGATTTACAAGGAGGTTGCCAGGGTTGGAGGGCTTGAGCTATAGGAAGAGGCTGAATAGGCTGGGGCTATTTTCCCTGGAGCATCAGAGGCTGAGGGGTGACCTTTATAGAGGTTTATAAAATCATGAGGGACACGGATAGGGGGAATAGATAAGGTCTTCTCCCCAGGGTAAAGGAGTCCAAAACTAGCGGGCATAGGTTTAAGGTGAGAGGGGAAAGATATAAAGGGGACCTGAGGGGTAACTTTTTACACAGAGGGTGGTGAATGTATGGAGTGAGCTGCCAGAGGAAGTGGTGAAGGCAAGTACAATTACAACATTTAAAAGGCATCTGGATGAGTATGTGAATAGGAAGGATTTAGAGAGATATGAGACAAATGCTGACAAATGGGACTAGATTAGTTTAGGATATCTGGTTGGCATGGACAAGTTGGTCTGAAGGGTCTGTTTCTATGATGTACAGCACTATGACTCTATGACTGGGGCCATCTGAACTAACTCCACAGAGGCTGGTGTCCTGTCACCAAGTGACCCTTTGTTTACAGGTGTAAAGTCCTTGACTCTTGCATAGCCTTGTCATAGTCAGTGCCCTGAATGTCAGACACTCCTGTTTATAATCTGTCAGCCAGGACTCCCTGATTGGGGCTGTTCATCCGGTTCAGTCAGGGACCTTGTATTCTGTGATGTCCAGCTGGCTGACCTCATTACTAAATCACTAAGCCGTCTTTTGTGGTTATGTCCTTGTCCCATGCAAGCCTTTGGTGAAGGTTGCGAATTCTAAGAGATGAAGCTGTGAGCTGCTGAGTGTAGATCTTTACATGACTGAAGTGTGAACTTTGGCAGATTGTTGAGAGGCAGAGCCTCATTGATGCCAGTGGTGCTACGTTGGAAGCTGCAATGATGCTGATTGATTGAACAGGAGGATCTGATAGAGATACCTGGTACCCAACCCCTTGGGAAGGTCCTCTGCAGTGTCAAACTTACAATGCCAACTCACACTCATAGGAGTAGCAAGTGTTGAGTAGACAGCAGCACGTACCCTGGTGGGGCACAGACCATTCATCCGCTTTCCGCCCACAAGCCAGGATCTCTTGAGCCACCAATAGATGCTGACCTCTGCCTTTGTCAGTTCGGATTGCCCCTTGTTGCTATCCACTGGGAAAAGAATTCCTATAGGGGAAACCTCTAGGAAGGTATTGCTAAACTGTGGCATCACCCTTTGACAAGTTTCTGAGGGGGGAAACATTTAAAAGGAACCTAAGGGGCAACTTTTTCACGCAGAGGGTGGTGCGTGAATGGAATGAGCTGCCAGAAGGAGTGGTGGAGGCTAGTACAATCACAACATTTAAAAGGCATCTGGATGGGTATATGAATAGGAAGGGTATAGAGGGATATGGGCCAAATGGTGGCAAATGGGACTAGATTAATTTAGGATATCTGCTTGGCATGGATGAATTGGACCGAAGGGTCTGTTTCCATGCTGTGCAACTCTGACCCTATCTCCAAGAGTGGTCAAGGTGATGACCAGAGGTTGAGGTAGGATTCGCATTTCATTATTGGAAATATGAGAGTCAGCCCAGGGTGCTCAGCTGCTACTTATTATTACTAAGTGCAACTTTAACAACATTTCCACCCCCAGGGCTTATTCACTGAGTATCGTGCGTGAATAGATGGACGATTTTCAGTACAGTCTGCTGACTCGGCTATACTGCAAACTGCAAGAGCAACACTAATCTAACGCTGAAGGTTGTATTACTACCTTGCAATGCACAATTGAAGCCAGCTATTATTTATAAGCTCCGAGTACCCCCCTCATGGGATGGTCCAGGAGTGTGCTGTCTGTTGACCCTCATGTTCCAGCTGCAGCCTTTAAATGGGAGCATCTGTCAAGGTGGTGCAGCAGACCTACTGAAACAATGGACCATGTGAGTGAGTTGATGCAAAAATCATAGAATCCCATAAATTTACAGCAGGCCATTTGGCCCTCCTGTCTGTGTTGGCTGGCAAGGTACCATCCAGCCTAATCCCATAATCCAGGACTTGGTCCCAACCAGCATTTGGTTGCTGTCCTTATTGCTCTTGAACTGAGTGGCTTGCCAGGCCACTTCAGAGGGCAGTTCCATATTGCTGTTGGTGTGGGGGCAAATGTAAGTAAGGATAACTGAAGTCTATCTAGATTGTCAAAGGACGTTCATGAACCATTAAAACAATTGTTACGATCATCATTAGACTCGCTTTTAATTCAAGTCCTACCATCTGCCATGGTGAGATTCAAACACGTTTCTCCAGGACATTAGTTTGGGATTCTGGATTACTATTCTAACAACAGTAACACAACGCCAAGCCTCTCCCTGCGTTTGATTTGTTCAAGTGCATATCCAAGTTTTGAGAAAGGATCACTGGACCCAAAATGTTAACTCAGCCGGTCTGGCAGTATCTCTAGAGAGAAAGCAGAGTTTTTTCCAGCAATTTCTGTTTTCATTTCCATGTTTTTTTTTCCTAAGAGTTTTGAGGGTTTCTACCTCTGACACACTTTTTTCAGGCAGTGAGTTCCAGGTGTCCCGTTCTTTGGGGAAACAACTGTATCCTTTGAATTCTCCTCCAGATGTCCTAAATCCATAGACCTTGGTTATGGAGCACTCAACTAAGGGAATTAGGGCCTTTCTATACTCTTTATATAGACCCCTCATAAACTTTTATGTTTCAGTGAGATTTCCCCGCAGACTTTTTTCCATTCACTCGTGGGACATCAGGTGGCACTGGCTGGACCAGCACTTATAACCTGCTGCTGTTCCAAAGAAAACAGTCCTGGTGTATCCAGTGTTTCATTCTTCTCTTCTCCAGACAGCATCCTCGTTTTCTTTCTTGTAAAGAAAGAAGTATCCCTATAAGAGGAATTCTGGTCAGTGTGTGAACATCTCTGTTGGTCTTTCATGGGTAGATGGATGAAACAGCTAGAATGGAATCTTCAACTTTATGGAGTTGTACCTTCTTTTGCCAGGCTGTGTGTGAGAGAGAGAAGGAGCATCAGGTGAGTAGTAGTTTTCACTGCACATGTGTGGATCCACTTTACCAGGTGTCCAACCATAATCATTCCTGCTGCATGGCAACCAAGTAGAAGATTTCATTTGAATTTATTCATTCGTGGAATGTGGGCTTTGCTGGCTGGGCCAACAATTATTGCCCATCCCGAACTGCCCTTGAGCAGATGGTGGGGAGCCTGCTGAAGTCTGGCAAGTGTCGGTATGCCCCCAGTGCTGTTAGGGAAGAAGTTCCAGGAGTTTGGCGCAGTGACACTGAAGGAACTATAATCATTGTTCCAAGGCAGGGTGGTGTGTGACTTGGAGGCTGTTCCCATGCATCTACTGCCCTTGTCATTCTAGGTGGTGGAGGTCACAGGTTTGGAAAATGCTGTCAAAGGAGCCTTGGTGAATTGCCTTTTGTAGATGGTGCATCCTGCTGCTACTGTGCACCAGAGGTGGAAGGAGTAAATGTTGAAGGTGGTGGAAGGGGTGCCAGTCGAATGGGCTGCTCTTTCCCAGATGATGCTTGAGTGTTGAAACTGCACTAATCCAGGAACATGTGGAGATTCCTCACCTTCCTGACTTCCACTTTTGTGGATAGTTGGCAGGCTCTGGGGGAGTCAGGGCGTAACTCACAAATAACCATAATTTACAACCAGTTAGAAAGATGAATCATCAAGGACTGAGCATTTCTCTGGTTTATTTTAGTGTTTTACACAGTTTGTAATGTTTACAGAGGGAGTTTTTAAAAAAATATAATTCTGCCTTGCCTCAGTGGATTGGTGTCTCTGCCAGGTTTGGTGGGGGTGGGGAGATCTTACGATATCTCGAGGCTCACATGTTGTGCCTGGAGTTAATCCAAATGAACACATGTTCAGAGTGCTGGTCACTAGATACTTGTTATTGATGGAAGAAACCCTCCTGGTGCAAGGAACAACTATTAACCCATTGTGTGAACTAGGAGCTGTGAAAAATTATGAAAATAATGGAAAAGAAAATTTAGAACAGTTCTGTGGAGCTAGGAAAACTAAATAAATAAATGAAACTTGCATTTTAAGCTATTACCTCAAACCCATTCATATTGTAGTCTGATTTACAGTAAGAGGATATCTGTGCCAGGTATTTGGTAGAGCTAGCCAATTAATTCAGGGCCCTGTAACTTTGTTTACACTTGATGCATTTAACCCAATTCTTTGAAACCATCAGTTACTTTGTATTTGCCACCCTTATCAGGCAGTGCATTTTAGATTACGACAACTTGCTGTTTTGTTTTTAAGGAAAATACTTCTGTGTGATGCCCCTCTTATTCTTTTGTCCTTTTTTATTAATTGCCTTAAAACAGTGAACTTTGGCCATTGATGCTTCTGTGATTGGAAATTGGTGTTCCCTGTAAACTGCACCTGAGTGCACAATGTGGCCCCTAAAGCTGCCCCTGTACATGGCTACATTTAAATTTAAAAAAAGGCCTGTGTACATAGTGAAGCAAATTAGCTAGATGCTTCAAAGAAAACAGAGAATTTGTTGCTGAACACACTTTCTATATATAACCTCTATCAAACTTATGGAAGTGTTCAAAGTCATTAATTTCATTTCCAAGCCTTCCTCTTCAAAGGAGAATGCTTGGGTATAAATAAATATATCTAGTCACAAACACATCCTGTTCAATCTATGGGTATTTTTAGTTGACTTGTTCAGACATGTTACAACACGTGTGGGGCAGGGGGACTCGAACCCAGGCCTTCTGCCCTAGAGTTAGGGACATTATCACTCTGCCACAGAAGTCCTAAACCCTACTGATTAGAGTCATACAGCATGGAAACAGACCCTTCAGTCCAACTTGTCCATACTGACCAGATATCCTACACTGATCTAGTTCACATGGTATTCCCAGGCAGTGTCCTATTTAATTACTAACCAGGTCTGAGTCTGTGTAGCTTATGAAATTGGACAAGATCGGGTGTTTACAAGTTGGAATGGCTGTAAGTAATGTCATGTTTATACCTTAATATCCTGATCTTTCAATCCCCTCTAAAACAGGAGAGACTTATCTCCACATACATTCAGTCTTTGACTGACAAGCTGAACAGTGAACAGAGTGAAATCTGACCTGACATTCCAATGCATTAGTGAGGGTGTGTTGCACTGTCAGAGGTGCCAGCTTTCAGAAGAGACCTTCAACCAAGGCGCCACCTGCCTACTCCAGTGGGTTTGAGAGATCCTGTGACACTATTCTGAAGAAAAGCAAGAAGAAAAGTCAACAACCTGAAACATTAACTCATTCCTCTTTCCCCAGATGCTGCCAGACCTGCTCTGTACTTCCAATGTTCTGTGTTTTATAACAAGGAGGTCTCTCTTGTCAATATTTGTGTTTTGATCAATGTTAGAGATTAGGTGATTTATTTATCGCATTACTGTTTACAGAAGTTTGCTACATGCACATTGTCGTGTAGGAAAGAGAAGCCAATATGACAACACTTCAGAAGTACACTCACTGTAAAGCGAGTACTTTCTGATAATCTGCAGTCAACAGGTGCTGTATAAGCGTAAATTTTGGTAGGGGAGATGTTGCTGACTTCTAGTTTCTAGATTAGGCTGTGGAAATGTTCTTGCTGGAGTGCTGTGTGGCTGAAGAACAGCATGTTCACCAAATCCATGTCTTTGTAAAATACCATACTTTGCAGCACAGCAAACAAATTGGAGAATTATGCGATGGAAAAAACTGGCAACTTGCAACAATGAAATGTCTTAGGGATCTATGGAGTGGAGGTACATTCCTCTGACCCTCTGCATTGCCAGGAAAATTAAGATTTTAATATTTGTTCTCTCATTTTGCTGCATTTTTGTGAACCAACTTTTATGCATATATAGGCCAATCTTATTTTTAAAAAGCAAACAGATACTGGCTTTTACCATAAAACTGTAAAAGAGGGAATTGCCAATGCAATGCTAAATCTAGAAATACACCAGCTGAATTACGAAGCATTAGTCTTAGATTGTCCTGTCCTCCTGGAGAGAGTTTGGAGGTAAAGAGAGAAGGTGCAGCACAGACTCCCTGGGAATACTGCTTTAATTTGAGGAAATATGGGAAGGAACATGGAGCTAATTTTATTATAACAGAGGAGACTACTGGATGATTTGAGAGAGAAGTTTGAAAATAAGAAGGCATCAGACGTGGTTGCGCTGGCTGGGGACATAAAATGGACATTAAAAGGTTGAATTTAAAAGAATTGAGGCGAGAACCAGAGGAAACCATTTTGTGTAGACCCATCACGAATAAATTATGAAAGTATGATAGGGACATGGGCTTAGAATCCATGAGGATAAATGCAACAAACTGATTATACAGGATGACTGGTTTCTATTTTACGATTCTTGCAGGATTTTGAGTCAATATGCAGCAACAAGGTATTGCTAACATCTTAATTCATGTTATCCAACATTGTATTCTGATCTCATTAAATTGACCAGTTTATTTCTAAATTGGATTGTTATTGTACTATGAAAAGGATTAGTATTCAAACTATACATAGATATGCAATTCTTATATTTTGACTTGCCAACAAAAAAAAAGAAAAATCATTTTCCCTGTCTTGGATTAAAATACTTTCATGCTAATAAGCTTTTTAAAAATTACAGTGTAAACTTCTGTGACTAAAAGAGTTTTGTTTGCTCGTTAACAAAGTTGTGAAATGAGAAAAGCCTTCAGTGTTTGATAATTGGCTTGATCTCACTTCAAATTGCTTCTTGGGTGCTATCACCCCCATTCTCAACCCCATTCTCCCACTTTCTCCCCGTAACTCTTGATCCTCTTGACAATCAAAAACCTATCTATCTCTGTCTTAAATATACTCAACGACCTGGTCTCCACATCCTTCTGTGGCAGTGAATTCTGGCTGAAGAAGTTTCTCCTTATCTCCATTCTAAGAAGTCTTCCCTTTACTCTAAGGCTGTGCCCTCAGGTCCTAGTCTCTCCTACCAATGGAAACATCTTCCCAACATCCACTCTGTCCAGGCCATTCGGTATCCTGTAAGTTTCAATTAGATCCCCCTCCCCGTCATCCTTCTAAACTACATCAAGCATAGACCCAGAGTCCTTGAACGTTTCTCATGTTAAGCTTTTCATTCCTGGGACCATTCTCGTGAACCTGCCCCAGGGCCAGTACATCTTTCCTGAGATATGGGGCCCAAAACTGTGCACAATACTCCAAATATAGCTTGAGCAGAGCCTTATAGAGTCCCAGAAGTACATCTCTGCTTTTATATTCAAGTCCTCTGAAAACAAATGCCAAAGTTGCATTTGCCTTCCAAGCTACTGACTCAATCTGCAGGTTTACATTGAGAGCATCCTGGACTAGAACTCCCAAGTCTCTTTGCACTTCAGACTTCTGAATTTTCTCTCCATTTACAAAATAGTCTATGCTTCTATTCTTCTTACCAAAGTGCATGGACTCCCGCTTTCCCACGTTGTACTCCATCTGCCACTTCTTTGCCCACTTTCCTAACCTGTCCAAATCCTTCTGCAGCCTCCCTGCTCCCTCAATACCACCTGTCCCTTTACCTTTTTTTTTCTTTATTCATTCATGGGATGAGGGCGTCGCTGGCTAGGCAGCATTTATTGCCCATCCCTAATTGCCCAGAGGGCAGTTAAGAGTCAACCACATTGCTGTAGGTTCGGAGTCACATGTAGGCCAGACCAGGTAAGGATGGCAGTTTCCCTCCCTAAAGGACATTAGTGAACCAGATGGGTTTTTCTGACAATCGACAATGGATTCATGGTCGTCATAGATTGTTAATTCCAGATATTTTATTAAATTCAAATTCCACCATCTGCCCCAGGACATTACCTGGGTCACTGGATGAACAGTCCAGCGATAATATCACTAGGCTATCGCCTCCCCTTATCTTTGTATCATCTGCAAACTTAGCAAGAATGTCCTCAGTTCCTTCATCTATATCATTAATTTATAAAATGAAAAGTTGCAGACCCAACACTGACCCTTGTGGAACACCACTTGTCACCGGCTGCCATCCTGAGAAAGACCCCTTTATCCCCACTCTCTGCTTTCTGCTAAACAGGCAATCTTCTATCCATGCTAGTACCTTGCCTCTAACGCCATGGGCCCTTATCTTACTCAGTATATTTAACATTGTATTAAATGAAAAATCTACGCTTTACAGGTATTTACTGTCATGACTTGCGTCTTAAGAGAGGAGCTGCTTTCTTCAAAATTCCCATTTGTTTTGCACATCAATGATACATTGTAATCAGAATGGGATATGGTGTCAGACAGACACGAATAAAGATATTTGTGATCATTAAATAGCTGAATGATCTTGGCTAAAAGTAAAACTTTGAATTGCTGTGCATGTCATTAAATATTTATGCTCAAGTGTTGCAAAATGGACAAAATAAAGTGTGGCATCTGTAATCTGGGAAGTTGTGGCTTGTCTTCAGTCAAGGGCAGTGCTTTTAAAATTACAAAAGCAAAATCCTAAAGATGCCAAATGATTTTTAATTGAACAGTAGATAATCTGTCATGATGCTTTGCTAGTAGAAATTGGACTGCATGGCAGTTGATTACAATCAAGGTTCTCTGGAAAGCTCTGCAATAATTATTTAAGTGGTCTACATTGTAATTTTAAGGTTTGAAAATTGTATCAGATTTTTTTGAGAGCTATTGTTCTTGCATTTAATGAAAAATAATCATTAAAGATTTTTGAGTTTTTAATTTGTTCATTCAACAATGTTTTACTTTGTTAGTCGAGGGTTATGAGGAAAAGGCAAGAAAGTGGAGTTGAAGATTGAGATCAGCCACGATCTCGTTGAATGAATAGCAGAGCAGACTCGATGGGCTGAATGGCCTACTTCTGATCCTACAGCTTATCTTTTTCGTTTACGTTGTCTAGCATATATTTTGTGATGTGGAGGTGCCCAGGTTGGACTGGGGTGGACAAAGTCAGAAGTTACACGATACCAGGTTATGGTCCAATAGGTTTATTTGAAATCATAAGCTTTTGGAGTGTTGCCCCTTCGTCAGGTGAAGTGAGAGAGGGGCACACAGACACAGAATTTATGGGCAGAGAGATCAAAAGACCATACAAATGGTGTGAATGCTCATGGTATAAAGGTGAGACTGTGCAGGCGCTATGACAACGGATGAATGGACACAGCACAATAATCGCCAGACAGGAATGTTTCCTCCCAGTCGGGGAACACTTCAGCAGTCACAGACATTCAGCCTCTGATCTTCAGGTAAGTATCCTCCGAGGCAGACTTCAGGAATGCAGAGTGGCTGAGTAGGGAAACTGGTAACCAAGTTCCGTACCCGTGAGGACGGTTTCAACCATGATCTTGGGTTCATGTCACGCTACGTGTGACCCCATCACACTGTTCTGTATCTGTAAAATCTCCCTAACTGTCCTGTTCTGTCACCATCACCTGGATAAATTGTTATGATCTCTCTTTACCTTAATTAGTTTGTACAGTCCTCGATTACTTATGACTTTGGTTAGACCTTCGGCATGTGATTCTTATCTATCGTGTTATTCCACTCATTTAGTTTGTCTCCTGCACCACCCTATGTTTAACTTTTTGTAATTATCTCTTTATCTTATTCATTTGGATTATAGTTCATCCTCTTGCTTGTTATTCAGCTGTTGACACTTTACTCACACCATCTAACACTTTGGATCACCTGCAGGGACTTATTATGTGGCACTCCACTTACACCATTTCTAAGGTGGAGAGATAGTAGGAACTGCAGATGCTGGAGAATCTGAGATAACAAGGTGTAGAGCTGGATGAACACAGCAGGCCAAGCAGCATCATAGGAGCAG